TGTCCGTATATATAGCCAAGATATTGTAATGGAGTTTGGCTTGGACAAATGTCCCACACTTACTATCAAACAAGGAAAAGTAGTGAAAACTAAAGGAATCAAGATGCCCCACAAAAATAACATTAAGAGTCTGGATGACGAAGATTACTACAAATACATGGGTATCCTTCAAGCTGACAACATCTAGCACACTGAAGTCAAGAAAAAGATTAGAGGTGAATACATCAAGAGACCCCTTTATGGATTACTGCTTTGTCGTGGCGAAGGGGCTTGTGTAACTCAATGAAGCTATAAGCTATGCTGTGCAGGGCCACCCAAGACGGACAGGTCACAGCAGAGAGTTCTGACAAAATGTGATCCACTGGAGAAGGAAATGGCAACCCACTCCACTATCTTTGCCATGAAAACCCCATGGACAGTACTAAAAGGCAAAAAGATATGACGCTGGAAGATGAGCCCCTCAGGTCGGAAGGTGTCCAATATGCTACTGGGGAAGAGCAGCGGGCTAGTACTAGTAGCGCCAGAAAGAATGAAGCGACTGGGCCAAAGCCGAAAGGACGCTCAGCTGTGGATATATCTGGTGGTGAAAGGAAAGTCCGATGCTGTAAAGATCTTTTCTCCATAGGAACCTGGAATGTAAGATCCATGAATCAAGGCAAGCTAGACATAGTCAAAAAAGAGATGACAAGAATGAACATCGACATCTTAGGAATCAGACAACTAAAATGGACAGGAATGGGTGAATTTAACTCAGATGACCATCAGGTATACTACTGTGGGCAAGAATCCCTCAGAAGAAATGGAGTAGCCTTCATAGTCAATAAAAGAATAGGAAAAGCAATACTGGGATACAATCCCCAAAATGACAGAATGATCTCAATTCGAATCCAAGGCAAACCATTCAATATCACAATAATCCAAATCTATGCCCCAACCACTAGTGCTGAAGAGGATGAAATAGACCGGTTCTATGAAGCCCTACAGCACCTTATAGAATTAACACCAAAAATGATGTCCTTATCATCATGGGGGATTGGAATGCTAAGGTAGGAAGCCAAAAGATAACCGGAATAACAGGCAAGTTTGGCCTTGGAGTACAAAATGAAGCAGGGCACAGGCTAATAGAATTTTGTCAAGAGAATACGATGGTCATAACAAACACTCTTTTCCAACAACCCAAGAGACGGCTCTACACATGGACATCACCAGACGGTCAACATAGAAATCAGATTGACTATGTGCTCTGCAGCCAAAGATGGAGAAGCTCTATACAGCCAGTAAAAACAAGACCAGGAGCTGACTGTGGCTCAGATCATGAGCTTCTCGTTGCAAAATTTAGGCTTAAATTGAAAAAGTAGGGAAAAGCACTAGGCCACTCAGGTATGAACTAAATCATATTCCTGATGAATATACAGTAGAGGTGACAAATAGATTTAAGGAATTAGATCTGATAGACAGAGTGCCTGAAGAACTATGGATGGAAGTTCGCAACATTGTACAAGAGGTAGCAACTAAAACCATCCCAAAGAAAAAGAAATACAAGAAAGCAAAATGGCTGTCTGAGGAAGCTTTGCAAATAGCTGAGGAAAGAAGGGAAGCGAAAGGCAAAGGAGAAAGAGAAAGATACACCCAATTGAATGCAGAATTCCAGAGAGTAGCTAGAAGAGATAAGAATGCCTTCTTAAATGAACAGTGCAAAGAAATAGAAGAAAACAACAGAATAGGGAGGACCAGAGATCTCTTCAAGAAAATTGGAGATATGAAGGGAAAGTTTCATGCAAAGATGGGCATGATAAAGGACCAAAATGGCAGGGACCTAACAGAGGCAGAAGAGATTAAGAAGAGATGGCAAAACTACACAGAAGAACTATACAAGAATGAGCTTAACATCCCAGATAACCACAATGAGATGGTCACTGACCTCGAACCAGACATCCTAGAATGTGAAGTGAAATGGGCCTTAGAAAATCTGAGCAACAACAAAGCTAGTGGAGGTGACAGTATTCCAGCTGAGCTATTCAAAATCTTAAAAGACGATGCAGTAAAAGTGCTACACTCAATTTGCCAGCAAATTTGGAAAACTCAACAGTGGCCACAGGATTGGAAAAGGTCAGTTTACATTCCAATTCCAAAGAAAGGCAATGCCAAAGAATGTTCAAACTATCACACCATTGCTCTCATTTCACATGCTAGTAAAGTTATGCTTAAAATCCTACAAGCTAGACTCCAGCAGTATGTAGATCAAGAACTACCAGAAGTACAGGCAGGATTTCGAAGAGGCAGAGGAACTAGAGATCAAATTGCCAACATACGCTGGATCATGGAGAAAGCTAGGGAGTTCCAGAAAAACATCTACTTCTGCTTCATTGACTATGCTAAAACCTTTGATTGTGTGGATCACAACAAATTGTGGCAAGTTCTTAAAGAGATGGGAGTACCAGACCATCTCATTTGTCTCTTGAGAAACCTATATGCGGGTCAAGAAGCAACAGTGAGAACCGAACACGGAACCACTGATTGGTTCAAAATTGGAAAAGGAGTCCAGCAAGGCTGTATACTGTCGCCCTGCCTATTTAATTTGTATGCAGAGCACGTCATGAGAAAGGCAGGGCTAGATGAATCAAAAGTTGGAATTAAGATTGCCGGGAGAAATATCAACAACCTAAGATATGCAGATGATACCACTCTAATGGCAGAAAGTGAAGAGGAACTAAAGAGCCTCTTGATGCGGGTGAAGAAGGAGAGTGCAAAAGTTGGCTTGAAACTCAACATTAAGAAAACCAAAATCATGGCATCCGGCCCTCTCAATTCCTGGCAAATAGATGGGGAAGAAATGGAGGTAGTGACAGATTTTATTTTTCTGGGCTCCAAGATCACCTCAGATGGGGACTGCAGCCAAGAAATCAAAAGACGTTGCTCCTGGGGAGGAAAGCTATGGCAAATCTAGACAGCATTCTAAAAAGCAGAGACATCACCCTGCCAACAAAAGTGCGTATAGTCCACGCCATGGTTTTCCCAATTGCAATATATGGCTGTGAAAGTTGGACCATAAGAAAGGCTAAGCGCCAAAGAATTGAGGCCTTTGAACTATGGTGCTGGAGAAGACTCCTGCGAGTCCCTTGGACTGCAAGGCGTTGCAACCGGTCAGTCCTAGAAGAGATCAACCCCAACTGTTGTTTAGAAGGCCAGATCCTGAAGTTGAAACTCAAATACTTTGGCCACCTAATGAGAAGGAAGGACTCACTGGAGAAGGGCCTAATGCTGGGAAAGATTGAGGGCAATAGAAGAAGGGGACGACAGAGAATGAGATGGCTGGATGGAATCACTGAAGCAGTAGGTGTGAACTTAAATGGACTCCAGAAGATAGTAGAGGACAGGAAGACCTGGAGGAACGTTGTCCATGGGGTCGTGATGGGTCGGACACGACTTCGCATTTAACAACAAAATTGTACAAAAGATTTTTTGTTTAGACACAGAGCCTCTACTTGCCTTCACAACTACGCAGCAGAAGCCTCTAAGCAATTAGGATGATGTCATGAAAAGATAGGTCTCTTTTGATGATTGCTTTTCCCAACTGTATATCCCAATACTTATTTATAACACTTACAAATGCTATGGTGAAAAGATTATTTGCCGCAGAACCAGTTCTTAAACACCCTGATCCTGAGGAACCTTTCATCATCCAAGCTGATGCTAGTGATGTTGCAGTGGGTACAGTCCTCCCACAAAAACAACTTGGGGGGGGGATCTGCAGCCCTATGCCTACAATTCATGATAGCTTTTGGAAACAGAGAGGAGATGGGCTGTTTGGGAGAAAGAAGGTTTTGCAGTGAGATGGGCGTTATTAACTTGGTGCCATTTCTTGGAAGGGAGCAAAGTGCCTTTCAAAGTATAGACTTATCAATATTATTATTCAAAATAATATTGAATTACCTAGAGAAGACACAGTTGGATTTATCGCTTTCACACCAACACCCCACTCACTTTACATAAACATTGTTCATGGGGTCGCGATGGGTCGGACACGACTTCGCAATTAACAACAACAACATCAAGAGAGTGAAGAAGATCTTAAAGTCCAAACACAATGGAGGAAATACCATAAAGGCAATCAACACTTGGGCAATTCCAGTCATTAGATACACAGCTGGAATAGTGAACTGGACTCAAGCAGATCTAAAAGCAATGGATAGGAAGACCAGAAAAATAATGACAATGAATCATGCCCTTCATCCACGCAGTGACATTGACAGACTTTATCTACCAAGGCAAATAGGTGGGCGTGGAATGCTACAAGTACATCAGATGGTTGAAGAAGAAAAAATAGCTTTGGAAGAATATCTGAAGAACAATGATGAAGATGCACTGAAATTAGTATATCAGGAAGGCTTACTGACTACTGGAGAGACCAAACTGGCCTACAAGAAAGACCAAATGAAGAACAGAATAGAGGCATGGGAAGACAAAGCACTACATGGCCAATATGTTAAAAAAAAGTAGCTGGGAAAGCAGATAATAACAAGACCTGGCAATGGCTAAGAGCTGGAAAATTGAAGAAAGAGACCGAGGGACTAATTCTGGCTGCACAAGACCAAGCCTTAAGGACAAATGCATTATTATTATTATTATTATTATTATTATTATTATTATTATTATTATTATTATTATAATAACAGCTTCTCTCGGTCACTTATCAAAAATCTCCTTCCTTTAATAGTGGTTCTTCTTTAATGACTGAATTATTCTGGACTACCAATATTAGTACTGCTAAAAATAATTGTATATTTTTGATTTTTTGCACCTTTTTGAGGACTATCCCCTTCCTTAACACTAACAATATTAAAGGATGATGGGTGGTTATCATTTGCCTCTAGTTTTGGATCAATATTGGCTTATGTTTCAGCTAGTTTGTAGAGAAAAAAATGATTAAATGGAGAAAAAGTATTTTTGTTGTTGCTATTGATGATGCTAATATTAACATGATCATGGTTTTACTCTAGTTTATTCTATAAAAAGCTAGTACGCGTGATTTGCAATATTGAACTGGTGAAGGAGAATCCCCAGAACCTGCACAATCTCACACTTGGCTACAACACCCATGACAACTATGATAACACCCTCGGCACTTCAGATGCCTTGCTGGACATGCTCTCTACTGGAAAAGCCAATGTTCCCAACTACAGCTGTGGAAGGGAGGAGAAGCTTTTGGCTCTTTTTGATGGAGCTGACAGAGACAGCTCCATCCAGATGTCAACATTAGCAAGCACCTACAAAGTCCCACAGGTTTGTGTTTCTCCTTCCCTTTCTGTAAAGTGAGTGGGGTGTTGATGTGTAAGTGATAGCTCCAATCGTGTCTTCTCTAGATAATTCTATATTATTTTGAATAATAATAATGATCAGTCTATACTTCGAAAGGCACTTTACTCGCTTCCAAGAAATTGTGCCAAGTTAATAATGCCCATCTCACAGCAAAAGCCTCTTTCTCCCAAACAACCCATCTCCTTTCTGAAGTGTAGGGCTGCAGAACCCCCCTAAGGTGTTTTTGTGGGAGGACTGTGCTCAAGGCAACATCACCAGCATCAGCTTGGATGATGAAAGGTTCCTCAGGATCAGGGTGTTTAAGAACTGGTTCTGCTTCAAATAATTGTTTCACCATGGCATTTGTAAGTGTTATAAATAAGAATTGGGATATACGGTCAGGAGGAAGAAAGGATCAAAAGAGACATGTCTTCTCTTGACATCATCTCAATTGCTTAGAGGTTTCTGCTCCATACTTGTGAAGGCAAGGAGAAGCTCTGTGTTCAGTCAAAGGATCTTCTGTACAATAGGAATGTGCAGTACTCATCGAAAACTCACATTGTTTTACACGGTCTTAGCCAAAATAATGATATCCTCAATGATGACCAAATCTCAGAATTTTAAAAAGAATCCTAAGGGATTACCTTTCCTATTGATGATAAAACATATATGTATTATGAATCTTTAGGGGCCACTAACATTAACCAACCATTTTATTAAAAATCTACAAATAGACAACATATCAACTATTTTTGCCCTAAAATTCTCATGATCAAATTCATTATAAATGGTCTGAAGAGCAATATGGCCTCTGGAGAGGATTTTCTAGCAGTTGAACAGTTCAAGAAATAACCTGACTGGTGGGACCCTCCATTGACAGGTACATTTACACTTATAAATAATATCAGCCACACCCATTTGGGTCAAAGATGGCAATTGTAATTCCTATATATAAGAAAGGGAATAAAAAGGAACCTAGCAATTCCAGGCCCATTTCTCTAACAGATCTTGTGACTAAAATATATGCAAACTTCTATTTGAAAAGAGTTGATAGTAGGTGGATGAAAAGTGTATTCCTTGTTGAAGAACCAGCAGTCTTTAGGCAGATGTGATCCACTCTTGACAATTCTTTTCTCTTGAACCATCTAACTATAAAAATATCAGTCAGAGGAAATAATGGTTTGCTGACTTTATAGCATTTGACACAGAAACAAAGAAATATAATGGAAGAAATTGACTGCCCTTCAAATGGAGCTCAGAATGTTGACCCTACTCAAAGCTCTTTCTAGAAGCTCTGACAGTGAGAACAATTAATCAGTGGAACGGCTTGCCTCATGAAGTTGTGAGTGTTCCATGAATGGAAATTTTCAAAAAGAGGCTGGGCATTCATTTTGTCTGGATCTCTTGCTATGGGCAGGGGGTTGGACTAGAAAACTTCTGTGCTCCCTTCCATCCCATTTTTGTTCATTTCCTTGAGAGTGTGTTTGGAGCTCAATGGAGCCATGAGAAGTAGGATTGATATGTACCAAAACTGAAGAAAAAGGTGATGCCAATATGACATTTGGGTTGCATGTGCTGTTAAGGGGACTTGGCTCCTATTCTCATAATAATTATCTGATTATGGGTAAGTGAAAGCCAAAAGTGATGGTTCTTGGAAAATAACAGCATTGCCGTATAGGGCTAATCAATGAGGAGGCAACAGAGCAAGTTCACACCTTTCCTTACCTGGGGGAACTTTTCTCTGGGACTGGATCTGGGCTCCCTCAACATCAAAGGAGCTCATTTAGAAGGCACAAGTGAATGCACTGTTAATTTTTTTAAAAAATCATAGCTATGCTGCTTCCTTAGATTGAATTATTAAATACGAAATACCAATGTTACCATTATGCACTTATATTGAGCTGAACTTTGGGATTTAATTTATATCCCTACTAGAACAAATTCGATCGTATCATCTGAGAAGTATCTTGAGGGTGGATGAAAGGACTTCAGCTTCTGCCCTCAGAGTAGAATTAGGAATATATACAATTTATAAAATTGGGGCATATAATTATTTTTAATAAAATAAATGGTATGGAAACTACTACTATTACTACTACTACTATAGTATTTATTTTTCTAAATTTTAAATTTCATTTAAACATTCTTGATTTGATATTAGGAACTGTCATCTTCCTGTCTTTTTTGCCACTCGAGAAAAACCAACTGGATGTAATACATCTATTATTTTGAATGACAATTACTTAAGAAAGAGGGAGATCAATAATAAAGCTCTTTTCAGAAGAAAATTACGTTCTGATTGTGGTAAATTCTGAGGTTATAAAAAATACTATTTTCATTCTTTATGCTTATTATATTGTATTTATTTTTCTAAATTCTGTTTTTACATGCAGTCTTGTTAATATTCTTTGTTTTATATTCTGTATCTTGATGTGGCCTAATGACTAATCAACAGGAAATGTTCTAATATGTGCATGAGAAAAATATTGGATTTAATCAAAGCTAAAAATTGGGACTTGGTAGGACCCCAAATATAACACAGAATTCTTCATTGTTTTTTCAGGTCAGTGAGAGAATTGCTTCAGAGACTCTGAGTGATAAAAGTCAGTTCCCTTTTTTCCATCCAATGTTCCCCAAAGAAGGGATCACGTATCCAGCAATTGTCCAAATTCTCCTCCATTTCGGATGGACCCTGATTGGTCTCTTTGCTCCAGACACAGAGAAGGGAGAGAATTTCATGAGGACTTTTAATCCTATGCTTGTCAAGAATAGAATTTGTGTTGTTATATCACAACAATTCTCAACAACTGGACATACAGCATTCCTCAGGGATGCCCTTTCTAAGTGGAGACAAGTCAATGTCTTCGTTCACTTCATAGAATTTGATTCTCCTTTGGACAGAATTCTTGCCTTCCATTCAGCACTTGAAGGTTTGCCTGGACCCATTGAAGGGAAAGTCTGGATCATGACAGTGGCTGGAGGATATATCATGAAAAAGGATAGGCGTTTCAAGCACGTCCATAGTATTTGGAGCTTTCCCTTTCAGCTGAAAAAGAGTTGGGATAACGATAATGCCTATAAACTATATCTCTTTGTGGAACCTGCATTTCAAGCTGAGTATTTTCACTGCATTGTTTCAAAACACACCTTTTCTGTCAAAGGCCGGAGAAAATGCACCCAGAAAGCACCAGTGGAGACCCAAGAGAAAAAGAATAGGATGCAGATCCAAAATAATCAGTCTATCTATTGTGTCATTAAGATCCTGGCCCATGCATTAAGTGCTGCATCCCAACCCCAGAGGAGAAGGAAGAAGGATGAAAAGAGTTTGGGGGCTCCAAGGCTGCAGCCGTGGAAGGTATGGGGTCCCAACAAGGATCCATCAAACTAAATTCCTTTTCAGGCTCTTTTGTGCTCTCTGGGCTTGGCGGTTTAAGACCTTAAGCTCCTGTACAACATCTCCTACTTATCAGAAGAGTGCTGCATCCTCCCTTCAACAACCAAGACCTTTTATATATTCAAAAAAGTTCCCAGACTTTTTCTGATTTTAACCTCCTGTAAACTAGGATAAGAAGCAATGGTTGGAAACTGATCAAAGAGAGACGCAACCTGGAATTAAGGAGAAACTTCCTAACAGTGAGGACAATTAATCAGTGGAACAGCTTGCCTTCAGAAAGCATGGGTGCTCCATTACTGGAGATTTTTAAGAAGAGACTAGAAAGTCACTTGTCTGAGATGGTGTATGTTCTCCTGTTGAAGCAGGGGGCTGGACTAGAAGACATCCAAGGTCCCTTCCAGATATATTCTATTCTGTTCTGTTCTGTTCCATTCTGTTCTATTCCAACATGGCTCTTCTCCTTGATGTCTTTCCTCAAGGTTTAAAGCAGCTCTTTTGATCTCTTCCTCCCCTTCTTTGTCCTTGACTAAAGCTAGTGAAAATTTTGTGCAGTGTCTTCTCCAGTGCCTACAAGAGGACCTGGTATCATTCCACTGGATCAATAATGACACTATTGACAAATTAATGATACAGTTATTATCATAACATTAAAATATTACTACTACTTTATTATAATCAGTACCTATTCTACGCATACAAATGAAATATTAATACCGATTATAGCTGCCATTCATTACATTCATACAATCGTGTATCAAGTCCTGGAAGCTAACAATTAGTTAGTTTCCTACTGAATTTTACTCATGCACCACTCTCTAACACAAAATCATATTTTTATTTTCTGGAAGCTGTAAGGCCCTGCCTCTGCTGAATCTCTCCAGAAAGCAAAACTCTTGAAACTGGCATCATTTCAAAAGGAACTTTTATTGAGAGTCACTGATAGCAAAACAAGCCAGGCAGAATCTGAAGGTCCCAGGTGAAAGTGTTAGACTAAACCCCATTGTTCAAAAGCCCTCCCAACTGCCCAGCCCATAGGAGCCAATCCAGAGGTGCAAAGAGGTTGTGAGAACTCCAGACAGAAACTGTGGTAAGATGTTCCCAGGCATCTCTTCCTTGGTGAGGTGAGGCAGATGACCTCGTGCAGCAGAACCGAGTCAACAAAGCAAAGCTAAACATATCACAGGAGAGCTACAAAGGTCCCCCCTCCCATCAGGATGGCAGCATCCTGACAGGCATCTGTAGGGACCTGAGAGAAGCTGGGAATTTGTAAAGGAGACCCAAAATAACTTTGTCCATGTGTTATTATAACTTTTGTATCACAAAAACATGATTTATCTACTTCTTTTATTAATGAAAATATAGAAGAAACAATGACCAAGGTCTAATTGTTTTTTGTAATTGTGTTATTATAATTTTTGTAATAATAATTGTGTTATTATAATTTTTGTAGCACAAAAACATGATTTATCTACTTCTTTTATTAATGAAAATATAGAAGAAACAATGACCAAGGTCTAATTGTTTTTTGTAACTCACCAATTTTATCAGTAATATTAATATTTACTTGAGTACAATTTTTGAGACAATTGTATCCAATTAATTATCTCATACCATCCAGC